CTATAATCAAAGAATTAAAAATAAATGAGCTTACACCCATCAGCCTCTGTTGGAGACGACTTCCATCCGTTGATGGCCGCTCACCGATCGCCAACGGAACTCACTCGCCCCGTTCTGCCTTGGAGCTCACTCTCAACACTCGTCAGTAGCTGCACAGCGACTAATAGGCTAGACAGATGACATTGCCGATAAAGACCAGGGCGATTAGAACGGCCATTTCTGGCTTATGAGCCGTCATCAGCCAGTCATGCCCAACCCCAGGTGCTGCTCCACCCCAGACCCGAACCCACGACCTGTTGATTAGAAGTCCAACGCCTCTCTCCAACCTATTAGCCGCTGTGCAGCTACTGGCGGGGTTCGAGAGTGAGCCCCAAGGCATAACGGGGTGAGTGGGTCCATCAGCGAAGGTCAATATTCCCGATCTGCGCGGGCAAGACAACGAGCCTGTCGTTCAGTGGTTAGAGCTTTGGACTGCTGATTAACAGGTTACGAGCTCGAGCCTCGGGTGGTGCACCACCTCGGGTGATGAACCAGAAGTGCCCATTCCAGTCTCCTCTGTCTTCTTCTGTAATGTCATGACGAATCGCATCAATTACCAACTACCCGTATTATTATTATTATTATTATTATTATTATTATTACTGTAAGACAACATTGCTTACAGGAAGTTCCAACAGAAAGTGAGGGGTGTTGGGAAGGGAATGGATGGACCAGGTAAATGTGCGCAAGAACAAGAAGGTCAACTTTGAAGGAATGGAACGGAAGAGAACGTACACAGGTGTATCCTTGGCGGCAATCGGTAGAAAGTCCGTAATGCTGAACTCCATCCGCTTGACACGTTCCACGACCTCAACGTCACACAGACCCTCATATGGGAAGACACCAAAAGTGATCATTTCGTAGAGGACGATGCCGTAGGACCAGAGATCGGACTTCACACTGAAAATGCCGAACTGAACGGCCTCTGGAGACATCCAACGAATTGGCAGTTCACCTGTGAGAGGGAGAGGTGTGAAAGGAGGATAAAGATAGGTGTGAGTACAATAGATTAACATTCCGTATACTTTTACGCAAATTTAAACGAAATACATATAGGGGGAGGGGGGAGTAGATGACATAGTGAGGATACTTACGGATGACAAAAAAGAGGTGTCAGCTTTAAGTTAGGAAACGCACTCTGGGAGGAGTACAACCTACCAAGAATAGGTCAGCCTGCTGGCCTAGCTGTGCGGATACTGTAACAACCTGCAGCAAAGAGTAACTACGAAAGATTCAGGCTCTGACTAATAAGTTATCACAGAACATGCACAGACAATAGCTACACAAATGACTGATCATAGGCTATCGGGGGCGTAACTGTCGAAGCTCAAACGCGTGCGCCGCAGAGAGGGACAGAGGCGTCCATGGTCAAAACCGTGCCCCTACCAAGCTGACTCAAGCAACCGCTTTCACGGCTCAAATAGATTTCTGACAGTCCGGAGGATTATAGTGTCCGCGCTCCGGTTGGACTTGACCTAAGCAAATAGCGTGGAAAGAAGCAATTCGGCGCCCATCGCTAAGAGAAACGTTTACTTAAACTACCAATGCGAACAGGCGTCGTCGTCTCCTGCACAGAAATCGGGTCTGCCTAGAAATAAGTTCCTCCAAAAGACATCCCAATCGACAACCGACTAAGTGGAGGCACCTTGTCCACTCCAGACGTTCCTTGGTCTTTTCCATAGCCTTGTCGCCATCAAAACCCCTCAGCAACGTGTGAATGCACTGGTTTACCGAAATAAATTTTGAATGAGGTAAACGCAACGAAAAATGCAGAACTTATGAACAACATCGAATTTCGTGACATCTTATTCAACTACGTAGGGCGATCGCGTATTAATAATATAGGATAAACTGTCCAATTAGAAACCAACCTAGAAGGTTGAAACCGGATAGGCACAAAAAGCATGGACCGTTGGTCTGATATGCAGGTGTACAGGTGTGAGGGGATTAGGAAAGACAACTAAGCCAACCAATCCAGTTCAGAATATACAGGGAAAAGCTGCCGGGCGTGATTAAAACTGTTACGTGCGGGGCAACAGCTAGTCATGCGGGGGTGGTGGAGGAGAGTGGGAAGACGGGGGAGGGAATGAGGGTACGTGTGGTGTGGGATTGATCACGTGATCCAGCTGTTTAAAGCGTTCTGGTCCTATCCTCCGGATTGCACCAGCAGCTGCAAAGCGCAAGAGACGCTCAGTCTTCGTCCGAAGCATTACCTTAACTGACCGAGTTACCAGATGCCGTTGCATGCGTCCCCAATGTATTCGCATCCACAACTACGAGTAAACTCACAAATACAGTTGGATGTGGCGTGCTTAGGCCGAAGGTCTTTCTGTTGCAGTGTTTATGAAAAAAAAACAAGAGACTGCGTTTATTCGTGCAAACGTGCATCAGGGCCGTCGACTGGGCACGTTTGAAACATTCTAACCCCTGAAGGGGGAGTAGAGGTTCGCCGATTTGTTTTCGTACGCTTATTTCTACAGGGATTTCTTTCTGGGATGGCGATAATAACTGGTTCTCTTCTCTAGATATCAGTTTTCAGGAGAAACGTCCTTCGGGAAAATAACCTCGGCACCGATCTTACCTGAGGGACATATTCTAGTGGCTCTATTGAAGAGGCCCAAAACCAAGTTTCGTTTTCGCTGAGTGGGAACGCACCTGAGGAAGTGCATGTACTGCCCTTTGCATGTGGTTTTTCTATAGACAAATCTTTCAAATATATCTATCTGCTCGCCTACGTTCAAGACCACCTAAGTGTTCCGCTTGTCTCATGTTCGATCATAAATTTGATTTTTGCGTACGCCATTTCCCCAAGCCTCAAGGAGTAATTCTCCGTCTCTTGACGAAAATGGCGAAAATGTTATCCACAGATAGGCTTGCTGTATATACTGGGCTCGCTCGGGACTTGACACGAAAATGTCACCTAGGACTGGCTCTAATGGACCGCCCATAGTTACACCGTCGATCCGTCGATAGGACTGCCCGTTGAACAAGAACTGCACATACGCCGTGTATTTCTGTAGTAGTTCCCATCAGTTAGCCTGATTCCGGTCGCCTGCACGGCGAAATAATATGCTTTTTCAGTAAGTTTTGATTAAATGGGACAGGGTAGGGTCAGCCAAGGGGAACCCTCGGCTTCACCGAGTTGTGGGGCCAGTGGAAATGAGAATTGTCGGGCCCCAAGAAAACGGGTGACAGCAAGGTTGACCTGCCGTTCCATTTCTCTCTATTTTTGTCCCCTCACGGTTGAAACGATAAAACGTTTAGTAGGCACACCGAGCCTGGAGGTGAGAAAATCACGCAATCTGCTTAACTTCCGAATGGTTTGTTCAGTCGACTACTGGGCGCTTCTGCAACCCTCCACTGGGAGGGCATTTTTTCAGAATCTCACAAGAAACAAGGACAGAACAGTGATTCAGAAGCCTGGAAAAGCTAGTAGCCGCGTGAGGTAAAATGCATCAGCAACAGGTATCACTTCAGACGGGGGAGCAGAACTTACAGTTTCGTGTAAATCGATAGTAGCCATCAGGACTGTTGCTCTTGGCCTCCCTGGTCAGACCAAAGTCGCCAATCTTGACAACCCGATCGCGGCCGACCAGACAGTTGCGGCAGGCGATATCTCGGTGTATGAGGCGCTTGTTGTGCAGATAAGCCATGCCCTCGGCGATGTCGATGGCCATGTTTGTCAGAGTACTCGGTCGGATATCCTCGTGATCAGGGTCACTGTGTTAGGCGGAGACAAAAAAGATGCAATAAGATGAGGTGGTGGTGGTGATGGTGAGATGTGTTAGACGCAGCGATTTAGGCAAAATACAACCAAACACATATTTATTTGAATTTATAAAGGCAGTCAAAATCATTGATAACAATGCCTACTATTTAAGGTGCCCCCTTTTACAGTACATACTTTTTATTAGCGGTCAGGAAGAAGCTCATCAAAAAGTCGACATCCTATCGAGACGGAAATGACTTGAGAATAGGCTACAGGATAATCAGCATTACAACCTTACTCAATGCCGATTAGTGAGTATCAATCTTTCACAAATGTCGGCTGTACTGAATGAGAGT